CACGTCTGTGTTCTGTATGTGTGACTTTACTCTCTATAGCAACTCTACGTCTGTGTTCTGTCTGTGTTGTGTACATATGACTTTACTCTCTATAGCAGCTCCACGTCTGTGTTTTGTATGTGTGACTTTACTCTCTATAGCAGCTTCACGTCTGTGTTTTGTATGTGTGACTTTACTCTCTATAGCAGCTCCACGTCTGTGTTGTGTATATGTGACTTTACTCTCTATCGCAGCTCCACGTCTGTGTTCTGTATATGTGACTTTACTCTCTATAGCAGCTCCACGTCTGTGTTGTGTATATGTGACTTTACTCTCTATAGCAGCTCCACGTTTGTGTTCTGTATATGTGACTTTACTCTTTGTAGCATCTCCACGTCTGTGTTGAGTACATGTGACTTTACTCTCTATAGCAGCACCATGTCTGTCTTGTGTATGGTTGACTTTACTCTCTATAGCAGCACCACGTCCGTGTTGTGTACGTGTGACTTTACTCTCTATAGGAGTTTCAGGTCTGTTGTGTATATGGGACTTTACTCTCTATAGCAACTCTACGTCTGTGTTGTGTATGGGTGACTTTACTCTCTATAGCAGCTCCACGTCTGTGTTCTGTATAAGTGACTTTACTCTCTAAAGCAGCTCCCCGTCTGTGTTGTGTATAAGTGACTTTACTCTCTATAGCAGCACCACGTCCGTGTTCTGTACGTGTGACTTTACTCTCTATAGAAGTTTCAGGTCTGTTGTGTATATGGGACTTTACTCTCTATAGCAACTCTACGTCTGTGTTTTGTATGGGTGACTTTACTCTCTATAGCAGCTCCACGTCTGTGTTGTGTATAAGTGACTTTACTCTCTAAAGCAGCTCCCCGTCTGTGTTGTGTATAAGTGACTTTACTCTCTAAAGCAGCTCCCCGTCTGTGTTGTGTATAAGTGACTTTACTCTCTAAAGCAGCTCCCCGTCTGTGTTGTGTATAAGTGACTTTACTCTCTAAAGCAGCTCCCCGTCTGTGTTGTGTATAAGTGACTTTACTCTCTAAAGCAGCTCCCCGTCTGTGTTGTGTATAAGTGACTTTACTCTCTAAAGCAGCTCCCCGTCTGTGTTGTGTATAAGTGACTTTACTCTCTAAAGCAGCTCCCCGTCTGTGTTGTGTATAAGTGACTTTACTCTCTAAAGCAGCTCCCCGTCTGTGTTGTGTATAAGTGACTTTACTCTCTAAAGCAGCTCCCCGTCTGTGTTGTGTATAAGTGACTTTACTCTCTAAAGCAGCTCCCCGTCTGTGTTGTGTATAAGTGACTTTACTCTCTAAAGCAGCTCCCCGTCTGTGTTGTGTATAAGTGACTTTACTCTCTAAAGCAGCTCCCCGTCTGTGTTGTGTATAAGTGACTTTACTCTCTAAAGCAGCTCCCCGTCTGTGTTGTGTATAAGTGACTTTACTCTCTAAAGCAGCTCCCCGTCTGTGTTGTGTATAAGTGACTTTACTCTCTAAAGCAGCTCCCCGTCTGTGTTGTGTATAAGTGACTTTACTCTCTAAAGCAGCTCCCCGTCTGTGTTGTGTATAAGTGACTTTACTCTCTAAAGCAGCTCCCCGTCTGTGTTGTGTATAAGTGACTTTACTCTCTAAAGCAGCTCCCCGTCTGTGTTGTGTATAAGTGACTTTACTCTCTAAAGCAGCTCCCCGTCTGTGTTGTGTATAAGTGACTTTACTCTCTAAAGCAGCTCCCCGTCTGTGTTGTGTATAAGTGACTTTACTCTCTAAAGCAGCTCCCCGTCTGTGTTGTGTATAAGTGACTTTACTCTCTAAAGCAGCTCCCCGTCTGTGTTGTGTATAAGTGACTTTACTCTCTAAAGCAGCTCCCCGTCTGTGTTGTGTATAAGTGACTTTACTCTCTAAAGCAGCTCCCCGTCTGTGTTGTGTATAAGTGACTTTACTCTCTAAAGCAGCTCCCCGTCTGTGTTGTGTATAAGTGACTTTACTCTCTAAAGCAGCTCCCCGTCTGTGTTGTGTATAAGTGACTTTACTCTCTAAAGCAGCTCCCCGTCTGTGTTGTGTATAAGTGACTTTACTCTCTAAAGCAGCTCCCCGTCTGTGTTGTGTATAAGTGACTTTACTCTCTAAAGCAGCTCCCCGTCTGTGTTGTGTATAAGTGACTTTACTCTCTAAAGCAGCTCCCCGTCTGTGTTGTGTATAAGTGACTTTACTCTCTAAAGCAGCTCCCCGTCTGTGTTGTGTATAAGTGACTTTACTCTCTAAAGCAGCTCCCCGTCTGTGTTGTGTATAAGTGACTTTACTCTCTAAAGCAGCTCCCCGTCTGTGTTGTGTATAAGTGACTTTACTCTCTAAAGCAGCTCCCCGTCTGTGTTGTGTATAAGTGACTTTACTCTCTAAAGCAGCTCCCCGTCTGTGTTGTGTATAAGTGACTTTACTCTCTAAAGCAGCTCCCCGTCTGTGTTGTGTATAAGTGACTTTACTCTCTAAAGCAGCTCCCCGTCTGTGTTGTGTATAAGTGACTTTACTCTCTAAAGCAGCTCCCCGTCTGTGTTGTGTATAAGTGACTTTACTCTCTAAAGCAGCTCCCCGTCTGTGTTGTGTATAAGTGACTTTACTCTCTAAAGCAGCTCCCCGTCTGTGTTGTGTATAAGTGACTTTACTCTCTAAAGCAGCTCCCCGTCTGTGTTGTGTATAAGTGACTTTACTCTCTATAGCAGCTCCACGTCTGTGTTTTGTACGTGTGAATTTACTCTCTATAGGAGTTTCAGGTCTGTGTTCTGTAGGTGTTACTCTACTCTCTATAGCAAGTCCTCGTCTGTGTTGTGTACATGTGACTTTACTCTCTATAGCAGCTCCACGTCTGTGTTTTGTATGGGTGACTTTACTCTCTATAGCAGCTCCACGTCTGTGTTGTGTATATGTGACTTTACTCTCTATAGCAGCTCCACGTCTGTGTTCTGTATATGTGACTTTACTCTCTATAGCAGCTCCACGACTGTGTTCTGTATATGTGACTTTACTCTCTGTAGCAGCTCGACGTCTGTGTTATGTATATGTGACTTTACTCTCTATAGCAGCTCCACGTCTGTGTTGTGTACATGTGACTTTACTCTCTATAGCACCTCCACGTCTGTGTTGTGTATGGGTGACTTTACTCTCTATAGCAGCTCCATGTCTTTGTTATGTATATGTGACTTTACTCTCAATCGCAGCTCCACGTCTGTGTTCTGTATATGTGACTTTACTCTCTATAGCAGCTCCACGTCTGTGTTCTGTATATGTGACTTTACTCTCTGTAGCAGCTCCACGTCTGTGTTATGTACATGTGACTTTACTCTCTATAGCAGCTCCACGTCTGTGTTATGTATGTGTGACTTTACTCTCTATAGCAGCTCCACGTCTGTGTTCTGTATATGTGACTTTACTCTCTATAGCAGCTCCACGTCTGTGTTCTGTGTATGTACTCTCTATGTGTAGTAGGAGGTATGTGTCCTGTGTGTGTACAGTGTAGTAGGAGGTATGTGTCCTGCGTGTGTACATTGTAGTAGGCGGTATGTATTCTGTGTGTGTGTACAGTGTAGTAGGAGGTCTATGTCCTATGTGTACAATGTAGTAGGTGTATGTCTTGTGTGTGTACAGTGTAGTAGGAGGTGTGTGTCCTGTTTGTGTAAAGTGTAGTAGGAGGTGTGTTTCCTGTGTGTGTTCTGTGTAGTAGAGGGCTGTATCCTATGTATGTACTCTATGTTGGTACAGTGTAGTAGGCGGGGGCGCATCTGCCGCAAGGCAAACAGGGCGTTTGCCTCGGGCGGCAGATTCCAGGGGGGCGCAAAAATTCAGCCCCCAAAAACATTTAGGCAGACGAGCTGCACAGAAACCAGCAGCCTGGCTGCCTAATGGTAATGGGGAAGAAGCGGCAGGATCTGTGGGGGCTTTTCAGGAACTGTGGGTGGGCTTTGCAAGATCCGTAGGAGGCTCTGCAGCCTGCAAAGCCCACCACAGATCCTGCACAGCCCCCCTGAGATCTGGCAGACTGCAGGGTCTTAGGGGGTGTCTGCAGGATCTGTGGGGCGCTTTTCAGGATCTGTGGGGGGTTTTGTAAGGTCCGTAGTGGGCTCAGCAGCTAGTGTAGTAGGAGGTGTGTGTCCTGCGTGTACACAGTAGGCTCTGTGAGTAGCTGGAAGCCGTGTGTCCGCCATGTATACACATAGGATGACAATTACTGATCACTCTATAGATAATCATTGTGTGATCTCAGTCCGCAGCAGCAGCACACCAGTCTATGTGATCCCGGGTCTATTGCCGCCCTCCCCGTCCACCTTACACCCACACAGTGGCCCCTCCCCTCGCAGCTAATTGGCCGCCTGTGTGCTGGAACCCGGCCCACTGTCCGGCCCCGGAATAAAGGGGCACACACCCTGCACAGGTATCATCACAGATCTGCTATCACTTGTCTGCTGTACTCGCTGCACTCTATCGCTTCTGCTGTCCCGCGGCGATCTCACCCTCCTCGCCTGGCCTCTTCTGGACTGTCTGTGCAGAGACTATGGCCACCACGGTGCTGACCATGAGTACAAGGCTGGGGCGCTTGGACGAACCTGTCTTCACGCAGCTCAAACCTGTTGTTGGCAATGGAGGGCAGCAGCACACAAGAGGGGACCCCTCTGCCGGGGGAGCCGTGTTTGTGGAGGACATGAAAAGCTCCAGGTTGTTGCCCGATGACATGGCACAGGTAAGGGACAGCGATCTTCACGGAGGGGTAGCGGAGTCCTGACATGTCACTGTAGCTCATAGTGACACATCAGGTGCAGCCACAGTGGTGCCCATCTATGACTGTTCATGTATGGGGTGCCGGGACCCCGGGGAAGTGTTATCGCAATGTGTATAGATTTTGTATGTGGTCCTATGTATCTAGGAGTGCTGTGAGCACATCAGCATGTATGTGATCAAATGTAACTAGGAGCGCTGTGTGCACATCAGCATGTATGTGGTCATATGTAACTAGGAGTGCTGTGAGCACATCAGCATGTATGTGATCAAATGTAACTAGGAGCGCTGTGTGCACATCAGCATGTATGTGGTCATATGTAACTAGGAGTGCTGTGAGCACATCAGCATGTATGTGATCAAATGTAACTAGGAGCGTTGTGTGCACATCAGCATGTATGTGATCATATGTAAATAGGAGCGATTGTGTGCAAATCGACATGTTCTGAGCCAGGCTGTCACTGTCCAGGTAAATGCCCGCAGGGTACGCCCTGCCATTGGCTATGTACAGGGCACTGTTAGAAGTGCATAGGAGCAACTGGCAGCCTGTCGCCCCCACACACTGCTGCACATCAGAAATAAAACAGACACTCTGGCCTGGGATGAGATCCACATGCAAACAACAGCTGGCCGAGCTAAAAGCAGAAAGGACTGACCGCAAAGAGTGCGGAGCGCTTCCAGCTCCTCTCTGAACACTCTGCATTTAGCATGTGGTCATAATGACTTTATCTCTGTCTGTATGGGGGCTTCTACACAACCTTTATATAGATAGGGGGGTGACAGCTGAGTGACTGCACCCTCTACACCCCATGGAGGATCCAAACCAGTCCATCTTCATTCTCCACACAGACCTGTGGATGTGTATAGACGTCTACAGTGCATGCATTTAGCGGTGTGTGTGTGTGTGTGTGTGTGTGTGTGTGTGTGTGTGATGTGTGTGTGTGTGATATGTGTGTGTGTGATGTGTGTGTGATGTGTGTGTGTGATGTGTGTGTGATGTGTGTTGGGGGTGTGTGGGGGGTGGGTGGTGTGGGGGGGGGG